GCCCGCGCCGCCCCGAGCTGAGCCCGCGGGACCGCCCTGTGTCCCTCGGGGCCGCCGTGTGTCCATGTGTCCCTGGGGCCACCGTGTGTCCCTCGGGGCAGTATGTCCCTGGGCCATGTGTCCGTGTGCCCCTCGGGGCAGTGTGTCCCTGGGCCGTGTGTCCATGTGTCCCTCAGGGCCGTATGTCCCTGGCCGAGGGCTCAGGTCTCCCTCACAGCCACCACTGTCCCCTCAGGGCTGTCACGTCTCCCTCAGGGTCACCATTTCCCCCTCAGGGTCATCCTTCCTCCCTCAGGGTCACCACTGTCCCCTAATGGGCATCGCTCCCCCCGGGGCTACCATTCTCCCCCAGGGGCTAACATTTCTCCCTCATGAGATGACCTCAGGGCAATCACTACCTCCTGAGGTCTGACATTTCTCCCTCAGGACAACCATCTCACCATCCGGGTCATCCCCCACAGTGACAGCAATCCCCACCCAGGGGTGAACACTGCTGTAAACGTGAACATTTTGGCCATTTGGGGCATTTCCAACCACCACCTCGCTCCCCTCCACTCTCCAGCCCAACCAGGGCTGTGTCACCTGCCCTACAGTCAAATTTCCCCTCGGGAAGGGCTCAAACTGCCTGGACGCAGTGCCTAGACAAGAGTGTTTGGGTTAAAAATGGGTCACCCTAGTTAGGACCAATGTCATGTCAATCCTACAGCACCAAAGACTCTTCCTGAGGATCCAGCCCTGGATCCAGTCCTTCCCTCCCTGCAGCACATAATTAGCTCAGTGCCATAATTAGCAGCACCAGAAATAACATCACCTCCAACCAAGCTCTATTTCTGCACCTATTCATTATTCCTGCCCTGTGTTTCAGCATCCTACTGAGGGAGGTCATACAAAGCACCACTTGTGTTTACAGCTTTATACATCACCTCATTGCATTTTTACCAGCAAGGCTTAGCTCACTCTCTTGTTATATTTAATATCCTCCTCCAGGAACAGGCAAAAATCCTCATGGTGAGTTGCTCCACACAACCCCCAAAAGTGTGTCACGGCTCATCGCTTTTTTTATGCACTGTTCACTTAGGTAATGTGGAAAAGGTGAAAGAAACACGAATAATAAGGTTTTTTTGGGAAGGGAGATGGATAATCAATCCCATCCTGGGGGCAGGAATGTCCTCAGGGCTCTGGAGACTCATGTCTGGGAAAAGAGTCATGTGAGCCCTCAGGGATAAACTCAACCAGAGCTTATCAGCTAAAAAAGGGGGAGTAAAAGGCAGGATGAAGCAATCAACACACAGCTGGGCAGGAGCAGAATCCACCAGGAACTCTCACTGCTATCACCCATCACTGCCATCCCCTGCCAAAAAGACACTGTCAGCCTTTCCTGGGATAAACTGTTACTGAACTGCCACATTTCTGGGATTTAACCAAAAACATGAGCTCATTTTCCATGAGGATCAAGCATAAACCTGCTCAGAGCCCAGCAAGGGTATCACCCCCAACCACCTCAGTGGTGTGTGTTCTGTTCTCTGAACTGGCTGCACACCAGAAAAAAAACACACCTCTGGCTCAAAATATAATGTTTCCATTAAAGAATCACAAAGATTTGGGGTTTTCTTCCCACATTCCAGTATTTTATTGTGGCTTAATTGATGTGTTCAATCGAGCTATGCAAAAATCACCAACACAACTGCCCAGAGCTCTTCATCTCCTCACTCCACTCTGTCCTGCCTGGTCTTCTCTGAAGTGTTTCAGTGCTGGAATGAAATAAGACAGAGTTGGAAGGCTGATAAAGACATGGAGATGGACAACAGTGGTCAGAGGGAGCACAGGGCTGCCAAAAGGGACAGAGACAAAGCTTTTGGGTCTGTGGGTGAGGGATGGATGGGTGGATGGACATTACCTGGCTGTCCCGCTTGCCTCAGGTGCCCTGGCACGCCGCTGTCCTCGCTCAGGCTCCGTCCCTCGTGCCTTCAGCCTGCCAAAGCAGAGAGGCATTAACAGAGAGGCCGAGCAGGGGCTGTGTCACCCCCTCCTCCCCACACAGCTCACAGCCACCACGAGGGTCTCACAAGCCATCGCCGAACCCATCACACCACAAAGCACATCTGGGCAGGCTGTCCGGGCCGGCGGCCACCCCTGCTCAGCCAGCCCAGGGACTGGAGCCCTAAGCAGAGAGTTAACACTTGGACATGGCTGCTTAGGAAGTGTGGGGCCATGGGAGAAAGTTAATGGCAACGAGTAGGATGGCAAAGAAAGCTACAATTAAAAGTGAACAACTTAATGAAGTCTAGGAAGAGTCTCAAATAGATGAACACATCGAGTCAGGGAATTCGCTCCCATCTTGCTTCTGGACCTACTAGCAAGACACGGCTGCATGCCCAACTCTGTCTGTGGGACCCAAGGTGTGCCACAAGCCAAAGGTTGCATACGGCATGGGTTAACAGATTTTTTTGTCCAGCAGCTGACCAAAATTGCCAAAAAAAGGAATATTTCACAGGTACATTAGACTTTCAAATGAGCTCTCAACAAGAGGAAGGATGCGGACATGAGCAAAAGGAGTTACCTCGAATTACAGGACTATTTCCACATATGAACTAGCCAAGAGAGCAGCTCTCGTCTCAGAGGTTTCTGTTGGAGGCACAACACTTCTTTTCTCCAAGGACACTGCAGTTTCCATTTGCTAGCAAAGAATTCTTAGAACTTGTAAGCAATGACACAGCTAGCTAAGCCCAGCGTTCCCCTGCCACAGCACCCACGCTCGGGAGCAGCCCCGGGACAGCTTCTTCCCTACAGCTTCCCAGGGTGGCTACAACAGCTCTGGAGGACACATCACCATCCTTCCTGACACTCCTCCTGCGCTTTGCTCCTAAGCACACGCTCAGGTCTCAGGTTTGCAGTCTATCCACAAGTTGGACTGTTTTAAGGTGAAGTATTTTGGCCAATTGACATGTCAAGACCGACTTTAGGATTGGATTCCAGCACCTGGTCCATGGCCTGGCTGGATCTGCCACTATCCCTAGTCTTGTCCTACAGCTCCCAGACTGTCCTCGGTCTCCAAGGGTTGTGTTGTGCAATGAAATGTCAATGTCAGGAGCAGAGTTCATTTCAGACGGTCTTTTAATAGGCTTCGTAAAGCCAAAGAAAAACTGTATACAGGAATCCTTTACCACTTCAAATACAACAGCAATGGAATAATGCATACTTCTTCCAGTAAAAAAGGACAATATAAATAAACATTTTCAAGAACCTCTTTATGGTAAGTTTGCAAGTCTAGTTCTGGGTCGTTTACATCGTTACAACAGTAGAAATACCGTTATGCAGGTGAACATACAAGCAACGTTTCTCTTTAGGTATATCAAGGTGGTTTGCCCTCCAACGCAACCCAGGCCGCATTCCTACCTTGCTACACTAAAGGAATGTTACAAAAGACGAAGGTAATGCACTTAAAAAAAAAAAAAAAAGAGTCCACAGCTTGTTCAGCTTCCAGTGAACATGGGTTCAAGGCCCTTTCTAGCTCAAAAGAAACTGAATTGGGGCCCCAACTTTGAAAAAGCAACAACACCTTGGCTCATCATGATTAAAATAAAATCTGAAGTGCTTTCAAATAAAAAAAAAGGATTAAAACCACTTGAAAGCAGAGCTTTCTCCAAGACAGTCCCATCAGACCATCTCGTCTCAGAAGCTGCCAGGCTGTGTTTGACAAGATCAGAACTGATAATACTACAAAAAGTGGAAATACAAGTAGATGTACTACACAATAACCATTTCAGCGAAGCTCCAAAAATCTTTATAAATACAGCCATTGGAAGGACGATCTTGAGTCAGGAAGGAATTTACTCGTTGTGTGTAGCTGAGGACAAGAAGCAGGCACAATTGTAAAGGCACTGAAGCAAAGACAAGTTCCAGCATTTCACTCCCTTTGCATTATTCCAAGGCTACTGCTACGTGGCTAGGCCGTGAGATCCCCCCCCCGCGGGTCAGTGCCTGGGGCAGAAAAAAAAACAACAGTGTTTAACGCTTGCTTTGCCTTACATCGACCAACTCTGCACATGCATTAACTGGGCTGTCCCTGCAGCACCACGAGCGTGGGCTAACAGTGTTTAACGCTTGCTTTGCCTTACATCGACCAACTCTGCACATGCATTAACTGGGCTGTCCCTGCAGCACCACGAGCGTGGGCT